CTGAAAGAGTGGTGAAACATTGGAACAGGCTGCCCAGGGAAGTGGTGGAGTCCCCATCCCTGGAGGTATTTAAAAGACGAGTAGATGATGAGGCACTTGACATGGTTTAGTGGGCATGGTGGTGTTGGGTCGATGGTTGGACTCGATGATCTTAGAGGTCTTTTCCAACATCTATGATTCTAAGAGCTAACGTCATCTGGCTTGACCGTGTTGTAGTCCGAGATGAAACATCAGCCGGGGTAAGATGTGACGGTGTAGCTAAGCCAGCAGCTGGTCTGTCTGTTGTAATCCTCTCCCACCGTTTCCATTCCTGTTCTTTGCCCCCAAATGCATCGTTACCGGTGTTCAGGAGAACTCATTTCACTCGTATCGGTTTTGGGTGCTGTGTGATCTTCACTGCGTGTGAACTGAGAGGCCAGCCGCCTGTATGGGCCGTATTTAAAAAAAATAAATAAATACAGGTAACAAAAAGCACGTGTAGGCTGCGAACCCTGACGCAGAATGAAACTGCTCTGCCTTGATGAAATTGTTTTCACTTGGTCAGGCTTCCTCGATCGCGGCAGAGCCTGGGCCTGCGGGAGGTAAGGACAGACGGCGTTGGTCCCGTTCGGCCCTGTGCCGCGGGGAACAGCCACCGCTGTTAACTGTAACTGATTTTTCTGTTCAAGAGCGTTATGGTATTTTCTGGGAATCCGCTTACAAAGTCCGAGAGGACAGTTTAAAACCTTGAATACAATTACTTCGGGCCATTTGGATGGTTTATAAATGACGCAATTCAAACCTATGCTGCTCCTCAAATCTGTGTTCGTGGTTTTTTCTGTGGAAGTGGAGGAGGAAGAGATTAAGGGCTACGCCCCAAAAATTATTTCACTGACAGAATTCATAAATCGTGTGATGACTCACGTTTCAGATATCCCATGAGAAGAGATGCCTACCGGGAAGGCAGTTCTCCCCGCTGGCACTAAATTAGGGGATGCCCCTGGGTGTCGTGGCCATGGCCGAGATGGGGGGGTGTCCCCGATGTCCTGGGTGAGGACGGAGGCCGAGGATGCTGGTGGGGAGGTGGAATGGTCCCATCAGCACCCGGGGTCCTCTCCTCCTCCTCTCCTCTCCTCCTCTCCCCTCCCCTCCCCTCCCCTCCCC